GTACAGCAGGGAAACGAATAACAACTTGTTTCAGAAAACTAATGGAATTCTACATTTTGATGTTTCGGTGCACAAAACATTCGACAAATTCGTTTGACGCATGTGACAATCTCATGACAGACTTCATAACAACCCTCAAACAGATGTTCAGTCATTACCAAGCCTCGAACTGGAAACTGTCAAAGTTACATGACCTTCTTCATTTCAGGGCATGCATCGAACGGTCAGGTCTCCCTGACAATTTCGCAGCTGATACATGGGAGCACCACCTTCAGAAGTTTTGCAAGCAGCCTTACCAGTCGTCGAACAAGCGTAAACCTTCCTTTCAAATGGTAAATCACGTTCGACGGTCTGCCGCATTTCACGACGACGTGGAATGTGCAAGGAAACGAGAAAAAGGACGACAGAGAATTGGTCGTCCGTTATGGAGTGTTCGGCATACGGAATGAATACACTAGCCGCACGTGACACAACAAAGTTGCAACTTCGACTTTTCTCCGACGAGAACATTGGATTATATGAAAACCCCGGAGCAACGAGAATGGGTTCGGCGATACTGAACGACCTCCCGTGCAAGGAGTATTTTCGAGGTGCTCTTCATACGTACATGTCAGAAAACGGGTGCAATCCACCGAATGACGACATGTTCATACACATAAGAACCCATCTTGCAATCGCAGCAATTGACGATGGAACAAGCAAGGGTGCACTTGTCCAAACAGCAAGGGCTTCACCCAACTTTCACGGGAAAGCAGTGTACAGTGATGTTGCTGTGAGGGCACAATCAAGAAGTATGTGGTATGCATCTGTCGCAATGTTTTTTGTAATGAAGACCTGCACGGAAGAAGCGTCTACCACACACAACTGTGCCTTCGTAAAATGGTACAAAGAGGTCGATATAGAGAGATCAGATATAACAGGTTGCAAGAAATTAAAATGGCAAATGGTAAATAGCCGCCACCTCTGCAGTGTCATCTCCGTTGACAACATAACGGACATTGTCCACATTGTTTCATGCTTTGCAAAACCTCAATGGGGTTCATCGAGATATGCAACACAACGTGAAGACATTTTTTTCTCGAACAAATTTGTTGTGTGAGGTGTGAGGTGTGGCAGTCAATAGTCACAACATGGTCGGTTTGCGTAGTAGGTGGCAATGTCGAAACACTTGTCACTCTCTCTCTCTCTCTCTCAGCACTAACTGAGGTACTCTGGCGCGAGCAAAGAATGACAACAAAACGAAGACGCTTACAAGCTCGTGAAATGTTCGTGACTTGTTCACAGGAGAATGTAATAGCTTACGAGGAACAGTAGTGAACGCTCAGCAACGGCAACAGACATGAGCACGACGAGGCGCAAACGATCAAGAACGACATGAATGCGAACAACACAGGAGAAGAACGTGGAAGATAAGAGCACAACTCACCTCAGGAGTGATAGCAATGGAGGAAAAACTATGTCGAGGAAGCAGGAGCATGATGACGACACCAATTCGGGAATGGAAAAGGTCAACAGTGGAACGAAGAATACAGAGAAGAAGACAACAAGTTTCACGAGAAAATGTGAAGAAGTGGCACGTTCGACACAGCGCGCATGAAAATGCGCAACACTCACGAGGGAGGCTATGCTGGAGATGTGGGAGGAGTTGTCACGGAAGGAACCTTGGAACAAGAGAATGTACTTGGTAATCACAACGAGAACAATCCGACCAGCATTCCTTGGACGTTTGGAGTCGTGTGAAAAGACAACGAAGGACAACCAAGAAGAGACAACAACCTCGTCAGAGTGGTTTGAGGTGGTTGACAACGCATATCCATTCACATGGAAGAGCAGAAGACATGAGATTGCAATGACGGAGGCAGACTGTGGCATACTGCGTAGCCACACGGACCCTACAGGGCCCGTCCCGAACATTCAGCCTAAAAGCCTAAAACTTAGGGCTTACAGGCCCCGTTCATTTCAGCCTGGATGCTGAAAAACGAGGGCCTGCAGGCCCTACCTCGTTTCAGCCTATTTCTGGGTCTTTTCAGACCCAGAGTTTTCAGCCTGAAACGGAGGGTCATTTTCAGGCCCTCATTGTTTCGACCTGCTCCTAAGACTCAGGCAAGGAAACAAGGATGCGGAACAGGCCCAAAATAGCCTCTTCCTCACGTACTCGAGCAGAAGCTGCAGTTGCAGCCCCTGCCTCCCTTCGGCAGGCTCAAGAGGCATACCCGTAGTACATAGGAGGTTCCCATGCACTTCACGGGTAGGTAGTATCAGTAGGCTGCAGTAGTCTTCAGCGCTAGGCAGTAGTGGTAGCGCTAGCTGTAGTCTTCGGCGCTGGGCACCATAGCTGTGACTGTAGTCTTCAGCGCTGGGCGCTGGTAGGTAGTAGATCATAGAGTGGGAGAGAGACTGGCGGAGGCCAGTGTTACTTACCTGTGGTGCCATCGCTCCAGCTCCATCTTCGTGGTACCTGCATCAAGGCGCCAACTTCACAGGTTAGTACTGGAYACAGAGAGAGAGAGAGTTCTTCTTCTTCCTCTTCTAAGTCCACCTTCTCTTCTGACCCTCTTGCCACCTGACTTCTCAGACTACGACAGAGAGAGACAGAGTTGTGACTTGAGACTTGACGACATTGGATCCAGACTTGACATTTGGGATTCAGACAGTTCGACGAGGGACTATTTGGGCTTGTGCCGAAGACTTGGTGTTGACGACATTCCCATCTTCCCCCTTCTCTTCGTCTATCCCCTTC